ACGCAGCGTCAATGCGCTTGCCGCGGAAGTAGTAGTAAAGATGAAGAAAGTCAAACACAAAACGAACGCTCAGAACGAGGATGAACACTCGTGTCTACTTGATGATCCACTCGACATTAACGAACGAAAAGAGCACCTCACTCATATCTACGCTCTATTGGCTATCAGACACATATCTGAACCAAAGACGTTCCTAGAATCCCAGAAACTACCAGAAGCACAACACTGGGAGAAGGCAGCCATTTGTGAATACAAATCATTGATTGACAACAAAACGTGGGTCCTCACAAAACTACCGACAGGGAGAAGGGCCCTACAGTGTCGATGGGTATTCGTTGTAAAATACAATGGAGACGGAAGTATTGACCGCTATAAAGCCCGCCTGGTAATAAAAGGTTTTTTGCAAAAGTATGGCGTTGACTACGATGAGATATTCTCTCCAGTGATCCGCATGGAAGTGCTGCGACTTTTACTGACGATTGCAGCACTCCTTGACCTTGAGATCCATCAAATGGATGTTAAAACCGCTTTCCTGAACGGATACCTCGATGAGGAAATTTACATGCTGCAACCTGAAGGGTTTACTGTTCGTGGAAAAGAGCACTTAGTCTGCAAGCTTTTGAAGAGCCTATATGGTCTCAAGCAGGCACCTCGGATCTGGTATCTTACCCTGTGCTCTTTTCTTCTCACCATGAAATTCCACAAACTCATCAAAGACCAATGCGTTTTCATTGGAGTTGTGGATGGAGCTACATGCTACATTCTAGTCTATGTGGACGACCTCCTCATCATAGCCCCTACGCTTGATATCATTAACAACATAAAGAACGCTCTCAAGCAGCGCTTCAAAATGTCTGATCTCGGTGAAGCTCAATACATCTTAGGCTGGTCAATCGTGCGCAACCGTACGGACCGAACCATTTTCATCCACCAAGAGAAGTACGCTACCAAAGTCCTGGATCGCTTCTCTCATCTTGATGCACACCCGGTTGGTACACCCGCTGATCCCAGTGTGAAGCTGACGGAGGCCATGTGCCCCCAAACGCCAGAAGAAAAACATGAGATGAAAGCGATCCCGTACAGAGAGGCAGTTGGTAGCTTCATGTACTTAATGATGGGAACTAGACCTGATCTCGCATATTTTCTACGAGAAGTCAGTCAATTCCTGGTGAACCCAGGAAAACCTCACTGGAATGCCGTTAAGAGAGGATTGAAGTACTTAAACGGTACGCGCAATCTTGGCATCACCCTTGGTGGAAAGCAAAATCTAGAGCAGTATAAGTCAAAGCATTATCTCACTGCATACTCCGACGCAGACTACGCCAATTGCCCAGACACACGACGATCTGTGGGAGGCTATATCGCATATATGTGTGGAAGCCCAATTTCATGGCAATCGAGAAAGCACCACACCGTAGTTCTGTCCACAACAGAGGCAGAATACATAGCCCTATGTCACTGCATGCAAGAAGTTATTTTCTTAAAGCTTCTTTTAGTAGAGCTTAAACACGAAAGCTCACATGCTATCACCCTATTTGAGGACAATCAAAGTTGTATTAAACTTTCCTACAACCCAGAACTGCATGGCAGAAGCAAGCACATTGACATTCGGTATCACTTTGTACAAGAAAAAGTAGAGCGAAAAGAATTTGAAATTATGTACTGCAACACCAAAGAAATGGTAGCAGACATTTTTACAAAAGCACTATCAAAACCCCTTTTTATAAATCTAAGAGGGTCACTATGTAAGACACTTATACAAAAATAAGAAAAAGAAAAAAAAGGAAAAGAAAAATACTAATCGATATGTAAAATTTATACAGCAACAAGTTTTGTTAAAAGTAAATACGTATTATTTAAATCTTAAAGATTAGCACGAGGAATGTCCTCAATTGAGTACACACCATCTACTGTCTCAAAGAAACTTGTCAAAAGCTCCTCCCGGTTAGGGAAGAAGTGATAGGTGTCGGAATCGATGAACACAAACTTGTTACCAACCCAGGCACGAGCGATACAATGCCATGTACCTGCTCGTTGCCCAGGCCGCCTACCTATAATCAGCAGAGCCGATTTTCGACTCCGCACGATGGAGGCAGGTCGCTTGGGTCTGCTCTTGAACCCCGACTTTGTGTTCAGATAAATCAGCTGTTTGCGCCGCTTCTGCAAGCCCTTCTGCAACGCATCCATAGTGTAGGCACCGTAGCGTGGATGTCCATGATCCACACTTGGGCTCACCTCTACCAACCGAGCCAAAATAGGCCGCAACATGGCTGGGGTGATAAAATCCCTAGTTTGAAGAGCGTTGCTGATCGATAAGAGACCGCACATTGAGTACCGGTCCGACAGCATCTCTTGATGTTGGCACAAAATTGATGTGCGAAGACTGACAGGCATCTGTGTATACAAAAGATAGTATATTAGTACTGTGCAAATCACATGAACCATAGCAGCAAAATATTGATTGCAGTAAATCAATATGACAAAACCCAAGGTTATTGAGACCAGTGGAGACGATTCGCTACCGAGTGAAACAAGTTCACTCAGAGCTAGCCCAGACTATAGCGTCAGGCGCGCATCGCACTAAGTCTCGCTCCCTTGAGGATTGCACTTGATCAACACCTTCAATACTTGCATGCAAATCAGAAGAAAACCGCACCTGTGCAAAAGTTGAAAGATCAGGAAATGAACACTTAATGCACTCAACGAGAACGATACGGAAGAGAAAGCAAGCGTATTTCACTAATACTTAAACTGCACGACGGTAAAGAACTTTGCGACCTTCGGAAAGGTATAGACATACTTTCTAGCAACTCACTACCGCAAGAAACAGTCGATTATCCTCGAAGTAGTAATTTAAGTCAAAGTCCTCAACGTCTTGAATGCAAATCAGCTGCACCATCTGGGATAAGAACTGCCCCCAACTTGGGACACAGAGAGGCTGTCAATGATGTGTCCTAATTGGTGACATAGCGTACAAGTTATTGTACAGAATGTCTTACCATACAAAATATGTTCTGGACCCAATCCTGCATAAGTCGATACATCACCTTTTACAGGAAAGATAAATCAATGGTGCCAGGAAACTCTCTGAAGACAGACTCATAAAATTCAATCACATCTCTTTTTTCTTCCTTCTACTCAAGCTCCTCCACCTTCCTCGCCTCACCTTCAATAAGAATAAAGCCGGAATCCCGGGAGATCGGTAAAGAGCATCTCCGCCGGTGTTGATTTGTGATACATAGAACAATAAGGGCTGACTGCACATTTTTAGTCGTTCCTATTTTAGTGTGTTTAAGAAAAATCACTTTGTTACCGTAAAAATCGGCCCCAGTGCGATTTGGTCAAAGTCAAGTCAAATATAAAACGTCGTCAAGGTTTTTTCAATAAACCCCTTTAATGACATCAGTCCAAAACAGGCGGCAGATCTCTGGAAGATGTACCACCCATAACATTGGGAGCGTCGCACTGGGGCCTACGGTTATGGTATGTGTAGTTTCACACTGACCTCTGACCTATTTCTCACCAGAAAGACTGTGCCGGAGAAGAGGCCCGTTGATCCCATGGTGTTGGAAAGAGCCGTCGCCGCCGTTCTAAGCAAGGCGGTAGCGATATCGTGCATACTAGAGACGCAATGCTACCGGTAGTCGTACGAGAACGCCTTGTCATGTGGCCCACACTACTAGCGGAAAGCTGTTGGATTTTTATCTGTTTCTTGATACAGACGCTGTAATAACCAGTAAAGTATGAGATCTGACCAGCTCGGCGGCTGCCGCCTATGGCTCAGAATTATCCAATGGAGCGACATATAATATTTATCTGATGGATACTTGCAGTAGATAATCCGCGGTCATATTTTTAAAGTTCTGATCTCATACGTAAATGTAAAGTCACTGACTTTAAGTCAGTGAGCTGCAAGAACCAACGAACAGCACCGTGATGCTTTTCACGATCCAAAGGGTAAGCCTGCAACCACTAAGGGGGTGTCGACTGGTCGAGGACTTCTCCGATGGTGGGGCTCTAACCTGTAGGTGTGCTGGTTGGGCAGGCGCTTCGTCCGATCTTTGAACTACTTCATTTACGGAAGGTTTGGCTCAGTCGAAGTACGAGTAAGTGGCGCTGGAAGATCCCCGTTTGAACGATATAATATCACTGATATTCGCAATGCCTCTACTATTAATAGAGGAAAGTTTGTTGCAGAACCCCTTCAAAAGAGTAGAGGGGGCACCAAGCAGACTACTGTACGATTCGCAGAAATGGAAGTTTTTAAGTTGTTGGAGTTGTATTTCTGCTTAGACTTAATCTCACGCTCTCGCCATTGTGCAACCACAGCGACGCACCCGATGCGGCTTAATGTAGGACTCCTGCAGGAGTAGAAAAGTACAGTAAAGTATTATAATACCGCTACTGCACATCCTTTCAGGCTATCCCTGTACCGGTATAGTACAGTAGATGCTTTGCTAAAAACCCTTGGTCACCACATGTTTTTATCTCACGAGATTGTGTACTGTACTGTACTTTTCCACTCCTCCAGGTGGAGGGTTGGACTTATCTCGCGCTCTTGTCGGCATTGTGTAACCACAGCGATGCATCCAATGTGGTCTTGATTTAGGAGGCCTGGGTCCACTCCTCCGAGGAGTGGACCCAGGCCTCCTAAAGGTGAAAACACAGTACTATTAATAATCAACCTCCTTTTCTAAAAGACAGTACACTAGTACTGGATTATGGGAAAACCTCTCCTATCGTTGATTACAACTGTACTTCAAGCATCAGGGCCTGATTCAGGCTGATCCTACAACTGTACTTCAAGCATCAGGGCCTGATCCTACTGTACAGTCTACTAGCATGTAGGCAGTCTACTAGGCTACTCGGGGGATGTTTTGTTGAATGAGGTTGCCTCCAAACTTTTTCAACTACACGTCACTGGATTCATTTCGCATTCTACATTCAAGCTCACCATTCAGACTGGGTCTCGACCTGCGCCCCATACCGTCCTTTCAAGAATGAACCTGTGTTACTCCCTTGTCTTCCTGGTCGCTGGTCTGTTAGCCTCCGGTGAAAACGTTGCAGCGACCTCACCTGGTCGAGCCCTGAGGGTGCAGACAACCAGAAATGAAGGACCGTGCGAAATCTGGTTGGACGGAAGCTATACTGAAACCGACTGCCGGAAGAACGAGTAAGAGGACACGTCGACTGCTGTTGGGGGTGTGCGCTCGTGTTTGCAAGTTTGGCAGTTTACTTTCTTAACCAACAGCATGCTTTTGCAAGCAAATGAGTTGAATTCGCCTTCTTTCACTTGCATTCATGAATAGTCTGAGCACTGATTATCGTAATGCGACGAGATTCCGCCAAGGTCTAGTCATAACTCAAAATCGCTCTGGTGCTGCAGTAAAACCTCTCCTACCTGTTGTGACCGATCAATACCAGCAATATACTACTACCTCCGTTCGGATAAAAATAGCCATTCGTTTTTTTTTTGCGCAGCGCTCGGCCTCGTTCATTTGAGCGTTTATTAATTTGTGAGAGGCGGGCTAGCTAGCTTTATGACCGAGAGCAGACAGTGAGAAACTAAGCAAGGCACAGGCGTTCATGCTCCACCGTACAGCTATAGATACAAAAACGGATCTAAGACGGCAACTACATCGCCACATTCTGAAGGGGCGCTCAGTGAGGCTTCTGGAACTTCAGCGGTAGGCGGTGGGGGGCTGCTCGCTGCAAGA